CCTCCTGCTCTGAGCTACAAGCTCACCAAAAGCTGGATTATTTTATTAGGTTAGAGGATAAAACTAGGATTAAGGCTTGTTTGGCCAGTGTGTGCACATGTTTCTATTGTTTGTCTTGTTCTTTGTGTGAAACTTTTTTTGCTGCTGAATAGGACAGGACCATGTAGAACAGGTTGTGTGTCTCATTGGGGATAATCCTGGTAAAATAGAGGTTAAATATCAATATTATCCTTCCATGCTGTGTATGAGAAGTACAGGGACTCTGGTATTTTTCATGCCTGGACTACTCTGATTTTTCATCAACATTTTGGTTTAATGAAGCCAGATGTGACTCCTTTTGACAAGACAATGGATATGCACAGCATTTTTCTATCTTGGCAGGTTGCCTAGTAGTGATTTGCTGCATTATAGTCTATAGGTAACTTCATTTTAAAGCATTTCCTGCTATTATTACTGTGACTGCACATGGGACCAAAATTTGCATTGTAATATCTTTATGTATGAGGAAGACTGGAAACTAGTGACTCAGACAAAAATATATTCAGGCAATAAATCAGAGAGGAAGTGGTGTAATTTTCTCATAGACGCCTATAAAGACAGGCATTTCCTTTATCCATACTGGCTATTTGGACCAGTCAGGTTTGAGGCATGTATGCTTTGTCTCTGCTTGCAGAGTGGGTAGCCTGTACATTCTTTCATATATATTGTGGCTTTGAACCAGCAGGGGGCAGAGGAATGTTAAAACACCTGTATATATATGTATATATATGACCAGCAGCTTATCGTATGGCTGGAAAAAGATGGAAAAATACTTTTCATACATTTAAACGGGACAGGCACCCGATTGGAGTCCAGTATGTCGGGTCTTTTTATCTGGAAGTGCCTTCCTTCGTGAGCATGATTAGGGTCTTCGAGTCGGTTATAAACTAAAGAAAGTGGCGAGCACTTGACCTGTCAGAGCGTGTTTACTGGAAACTGGCTGTTCATGCCATTACAGAGGAAAGATTAAAACAGAGAGGGTAAAGGTTGTATAACCACGGAGAGCACTGCTTCAGTGTGCTGGCTGAGTTTTCAAGAGTTTGAATTTGTGGTTCCTAGCGAGAACTTACTGGCACGAAAATAACGAAGTCTATTTAAAACTGTCTTAAATCATGAGTGAAAAAGGTCACTCCAAGGAGGCGGTGGTCTCAGTGGTTGATTTAGCTGAAAGTTTTGGCCTCAAAGATGTGAAAACATAAACTTGTTCCTGTGAGGGAGTCCAGAGCTTTGATTGACACGCATTTCAGTAAATCACACAGATTTGACTGTTGCTCTTTCGCTCCTCTCGTATTGCTTTGCTGTCAATGAGCCGTCTGTGTTCAAACTAGTGAAAGGTTGCCAAGTTCAGACATAAATAATGCTCTGCTTGGTCCAAGCACAGAAATATCCCATTCACCTTGAGGGCAACTAGAGCCATCATTACAATATAATGTATCCTGGTGACTGAGTGGGCCGAGGAACATGCTGTACTGTTTTAACTGCCATGTTCTGGTTTCAAAGGCTCCTCTTAAACCATACGAGCTGCTCTCATTTTCTTATCCCTGTCACGGCCCTGAGAGGAATAAAAAAGTATCTCATGGAGGCAAATGCCAGAAAAAGAGAAGAGAATGTCACACAGGAGTATTATACGAATGTCAAAATGCAGAAGTGGTCTTAAAATCTCAACCCCCGGAGACACATTAGTGAGCGTCAGGTGTTTTTTTGTGTGGATGTGTGTCTGAGCTGAGCAGCTGACACACACACATCCACAAACTCAGGTCTGAGCGTCAATAATATTAATATATATCACCATTTGGCCTGTCACAAGGCTTTTACTGAAGCTAAAAATCATAAACACATTCACACTTTAATCAATATCATAGGAAATATGGTGCAGCAATGAGTGTTCCTTTTCTCCGGAGACATGGGTGCCAAACACGTTAATACAACTTGAATATAATTTATGGGTTGAGGGGCGCCACTACAGCTCTTGAACTGTTAAACATCCTTCAAGTGATTGAAAAGGCTGGGGAAAATAACGTTTCAGCAATGCTTATAATGAGATGCCCTGTGCAGACACTGATAATGTGTTCCAAAAGAGACTGCTAATGGCTGCAGTGATGAAGGAGAAGAGGATCAAATACAGCCGTGTGATTTCGTGTCTTTGCAGGCAGCATGCTGCGTATTTAAAGTTTTAAGAACAAACAAATGGAAATACACTTTTTTTTTCAGGGGGTTCAAACGGAAACACGAACAGGGAGCACAAATTATGAAGAAAGGCGACTGTCGTACAAGAAAGCAGGGTTTACTTTAACAAGAGATTACAGCGGGAATTTCGTGCATGGACGTTGCTGTCGCTGCAAATAGAGGTGTAGCAGGAACTCGAGTGGCAGGAGGATTTTTGTTCTGCATTTTTGTGCCAGTACTAGAAGAGGCTGATACCAGTGTGGTTTCAGAGGAATAGGGTCCTTTCACTTACAGTATATTACCTTGTGCTTAATGGGCATGTAGTAATTAAAAGTTATGTGAGCCTGACCACACATATGCTCCACAATTTATTTTAGCAGGAGGCCTTCTGTTATCTCTGCGACCTTCTGGGAAGAACAAGGCTGTATGAAAATGTTGCATTAAGTTCTGATCATGTCGGGTGCTTTTCCTGGTTTTTTAGCTACGGTGCAATCTGGGTTCATCCTGCAAAGACAAAGTGCTCTTTCTGGAGGTGCTTAATCACTGCTTTCTACAATTTAGTTAGTTTTCATTAGAATAAATGTCATGATGGTAATAAAAGGATAATACAATGTTACAAATTAATTCAAAGTTGTCCTGTTGAGATTTTAAGCACGTACAGTCTTATGTTTAGATTAAGGATTACCTTTTAATATGAGATAAATTATAAATTAAAACTTTAAACTTTTAAGAGGGTGCGCCGCTGGCTTCTTGTCTACGTTTGAAGGTCATGCCTCGAGCACTCCCTCCCCTCTGTCCTGTCCACTCCAAATAAAGACAAAAAGCCCAAAAGTTGACCTTGAAAAAATTTTTAAAACAAGATCCATGCATGCTTGCTGGCAGTGTTAGTCTATCCTACCTTGTGTTGTGCATATATTGCTTTTCCTGGATAGCCACTGCATGCTGCATGGCCAGTACATAGAGGGGCTTGGTGGTAGAGTCTCTTAATCAAGAGGTTAGAGGTTCGATCCCAGGGCTGTCTACATGCCAAAGTGTCCTTGGGCAAGACATTTGACTCTCACTTGACCTGCTAGCTTTGCCCAGCGATGTGTGTGGATGGGCTCATGAAGCAAACATACCAACATGTTCATCTGAAATTAGCCTTGGCAGCGAGAGATCTTAAGAGTCCCAGTTTTGATCACGTGGACTCTGGTTGTTGGTGAATAGAGTATCTTAGTGTGTTGAGATGTGTCGTTCATACTGTTGCGAAGACAACATCCTTAAGTCTTTATTTGAGGTTACGTGTGGGGTCGGTCACTGCTTCATAACTGGTTAAAAATCCTCTGGTGTGCCAGGCATAACTCAGAAAGTATGAGAGTGGAGTCATTAGTGCCAAGCAAACATTTGGCAGTAAGCGATAAAATCTAATTTAAAAGCGTGGGTGGAATAAAATTTAGCTTTAGCCTTCACCTATTTTTACTGGCTCATAATTAATCAGTTGAAATGTATTCATACTTGTTTTTTTATTTTCTTTTTTTCCTAATTACTGAGTCCCTCCATGCATCTGTGTTTGTGACGTCCCTGTGTGAGGAGGGAGGAATGGTTCACACTGACCAAAATAAACTTTCACTTGAAAGAATCTATGATGAAAAAAAGAACATATAACTGTAGTTACTGAGGTCTGAAAACACAGTGTGAGACAGGCTCTTCAAATCACTGCTCAAAGGTCACAGGTGTCAGAGGACTGAGGATATAGATAAAGATAGGATCATGAATAGCTGTGTATGTAGGAGGGGGAGAGTTTTTGCTGCGCCCTTGCCAAAGGTTGGAATATGAAACATCAGAAAAACTATAAGTTTTTTTTTTTTACCGAGGAGTATAGCTGTAGGACTGATAAGGGTAAATGTGTTCTTTCAGGATGACTAAATACATTCCTGTAACTTTTATCCACATTTAGGAGAAAACTGTCTTCGCCCAGCTGGTCTCATTCTGCAGTATGGGCAATTTGCTACACCCCCTTCACCTCCCTCCCTCCCCCACTCAACTTCGCCTGAGCCTGTGAGTCTTCTTTGTCTTCATATTCCTTTCATAATGTGTCTGTTGCTGAACTTTGCAGGCTGACAGGTGATAAATATTAATAAAGATGCATAATGGCACGAATATTGGGGTGTATAATAAAAAATAATGTTTAGTTTGGGGTATTGGGGCAAAGTGTGACTTTGAAAAGGATCAAAACTTCAGTGCGTAGGGAGAACTTTACAGAAAGTAAGAGAGCGTGTTTCTCTTTCCTATTCAGATGTGGACAATGAAACCCAGTATAATGTCATCTTTGTGCGTGTTTCTACTGAAAAAGACTTTAAAAGGATTTCTATAAATCAGAAGTCAGAGGATTGTGCAGCATGAAATATTTTCTCTTGTTTTTTTTTTCATACATTTCTTCTGTTTTCATTTTCAAATAAGCCTGCAGCATATTTGACAGTGCTCTGGTTTCAGCGAGTACAGTGGTGGATGCAATGGGATGTTGGCAGCAGAGGGAGCTTGTTAAAAGAACAAGTCTGACTTTCATGAGAAATGAGTATGCAAACGGCTGGAGGCAAGCTGTGCAAGGATCTGCAGGCATTCTTAGATGGCTGCCTGAGTGGAAGACTCTGCATGGTGGTGGCAGAAGGGTTGTTTTTATGCAACTTGCTGATTTGCACTGAAAGGTGTTAGGATGCCAGTATTCATGTTAGAGCAAGCCCTACTGTCATAATAGGGCATGGGAATTAAATTTGTTGTGACTTACAGTTTCAGAGATACACAGGAAAAATACTCTCTGTAACCCACAGTCTACATTTTATTCATTTTATTGATTGAAGCAAAGGCAGTTCATCACCATTTCAGGTCAATTGAGATGCAAAGTATGTTCATGTCTGACATACGCTGAGACCTTGATTCTAGTGCAGTCAAACCTGAATAGGAACACATTTGAACCTGAAGACCTTTTATTTGATGGCTGCTCACTCACGAGTTGTCCCACAGTGCTTTGCAGCGTACCTCCAGGTGCTTCCGGATCACAGGCATTCAATCTCCTCCAACCTCGAATCTGCCCTTACCATCAAATTTCATCGTATTTGAAGCAGGCTGGCGTGAAAGGGAAAATGATTACAATCAGCTCCCCTGATTGAACTCCACTGACCTTTCTGCTACAAATGTCTCTTTCAAAAAGCAATAGAGAATGTCAGGCTATTATTCCCTTTTCTTCCGTGGGGAGGGCTGACGGGTCCAGTCCGCACTGCTTCATACGAACAGCAATGTCAAACAGGTAGTCGTAGCATTCACACCTATAAGACAAAACACAACTTCAGTAATTGTGAAGAAAAATGTGAATCTATGTTTTTCTGCTTGTTATGTAAGTGTGAAATAAAATGAGACTGGTGTAGTTTTAAAAAGTATTAAACACTTACATAGTCTTTGCCTTTTCCCACGACTCGCCCCAGACGTAGACACCATGTCGGCGGACGAGCACAGCACACGTGTTTGGGTATTCCTCCATTGCAAAAGCCATCCGGTCTTTCAGGTCCTTCTCCTCAGGTGTATTTTCAACAATAGGCACAACCAGAGTCTCGTCGTACCTGGATCAATGCAGGGAAGAAACCCTCAAATTAAACCCAGGCTTATTATTCGAAGGCATGCACTTTGGCCATCAGGTTGCTGTCAGAGAGAGGCTCTCAAAGTCACTGCAGTCTACAGTTACCTGATCCCAGGCAATCAGATCAAAGAAAGACAAATTACACTACTTTATCAAGAAATAATACCCTTTGAATCTCTCCTGATTTTGGTATCTTGAATGTTAAAATCTGCTGGGGTTTTTCTGGTCTTATGCCACTGGGATTAATCACCTTTGTTTCTGAGTGTAAGAGAAACAAAACAAGCAAACTGAGGGTGTCACTTTTTACTTTTTTTGACATTTCCCAGTTGAATTACTTATCGAAACCAACAAAATTATCACGTTACTGCTGTAATTGAACAAACTCTTCACAGCTTCTCTCCAGCTCTAACCACAGGATCAATCTAAACCCTCTGCAGCGCTTCCTTTTTTGTCCTCTGCCACAATTATGAGCAACTAGCACACTGTTGTATCTTTGAACTGTTAATGTTATTCCAAACAGGCGTTTCAATCAATGCCAAGTTGTCAAGTGGAACCCTTAAATAATAGGAGGCAATTCAAAACCACTAAAAGCATTATTTCACAATGTGCATAAAAGTGAAGTATAAAGCAGCACAGAGGTTTTTTATTTTTTTTATGTGATTTCATCAAACAAAAATTGGGGCACCGAGCCTTTGTTGTGCAGAGCCGCTCAGTGAAAAGGACTCGCATGTTCCAGCCTGTGATTTGAATCAGGGTAATACAGAAACTGGAGGCAAGACAGGGCACATTGAAGCACAAAGAGGTCATAACCACATATTAAGTAACAGAAATAAATCAAAATGTTTTTCAAATGTCAGAATTAAAAAGTATGTGATAGCACTGAACACTTCACGTACTTGATCTGAAACTTTGCGTTTTACAAAGTTTGATGAGTTCAAGACAGTGTTGGAGACACTGGCTTTTATGACAAAATGAACTAAATCTAGTGGAAGCCGGACTAACCTGCAGAAAGTCCACCTTGACTTACGAACTAATACAGAAAAAACATGATCTCTTTGATAGTCCTCAGTAGATCAGCCAGAACAAAAATACAAACACCACACATAGAAATCAAACGGTGTCCTCTCTGACATTAAGCACAAATTTCAATGACAAAAACTCCTCTATTCTTTTTACCATTATCATGATTATAAATGCACATAATCTCCTCAAGCGTTTTTTTGGCTCATTATTTCCTTTTTTTGTGTTTTTAGAGGAACCACATTTAATATTATAAACACTCTAATGCAGCCCAACACATCAGCTGCACCATAATTTTACCTTGTCAGTTTTCACTGACATGGTCAGACAGGTGAGTATTGTTGTTCTTAAAACTAGTTATTGCAGCTGTAGCAGGTGTTGATATTGCACTTGACAGCATCGTATTGATGTTGTTTTGCTCCTTTCATGTTTGCTAATAAAGAAGACAAAATATAGAGCAAAACACTTCAGTACACCACCATCACCCACTACTCTTCAGTGAAAAAATAAATATGGAGATCACTGAAATCACTGGATACATTTTTTTTTACTTTTTCAAACACTTCTCAATTTAAACTTAAGTTATTTAAAAACTCATGAATTAATACTTTCAATTAAATCATTTGTTTGAAAGTCTTACTCTGTCCCATCCATTCACTCTTTTTGATCAACTACATTTGATCTATTTACTTTTTTGTTTATTTTTATGTCATCACTCTTCTTTTTCTTATCTGTTTTTATTCTTATGTGACATTGCCTTTTGTTTCCCCTTGTTTTCTCCTCTGGAAGTCTTCATTGTCCGTAAATGATATTCTTCCTGCCCTTTTATTTGCTATGATTTAGCACTCATTTCTCCCCTGTTGTTTTAATTAGTATTTACTCTGCTTTGTCTGTCAGAGTACTTCATAAACTTTTGTTTTGGGGCATTAGTTTGTTCATAACCTTAAGATGAGCTCTTTTCTTTGTCAGAACCAGGCCAGGCTTTCCAAGGCAAGCTCATGTAACCTGTGTTAGCTACTCTTGTTGTCGATTAGAGGTATCTTTAATTTAGATCTTCCTATTCAAAAATAAGCATTTCATAAATCCACAATGACATTCTTCCAATCCAAAAAGAACGGTGTGGATATCTAAAATTGAATTCTTTCAGTGAAAACCTTTCAGATATCTACAGTCTCATTGAAACATAACTTTGATCCCAGGAATCCAAAATGTTTAATCAGCCCAGATATGAAGAATGTAACTTTGAATTTCCACATTTTGGCTGCTAACAACTGACTGACTAGAGTTTTCCATGAAGAATAATTCCATGAAAATGTCTAAATCTATGTTGTGGAAATCTGAAACTGAAAGCTCAAAACATATGACTAACCAAAGTGATGTTATTTGGACCAGTAAATGTGATTACGCCTATCTTCAACCATTAGCAGTGAAGAGACATTTTTAACAACAAGATAAGAGATAAGAGGATGTTTGCTTTGCATATTCAGACCTCTTCTTCAGACCAGTCTTTTCTCCCTCGCTCCTCCAGAGCATTATTTCAGCATGCTCAGAGAGAGAGAGAGAGAGAGGGTTCAGACTTTGAGGGTTTGGCCCTTTAGCTGAAAGTCATTTCACTGAAGCTTAGATAAGAAAATTCATGTTACAGCTGCTGAGAGGAACATTTGGTTTACTTCCATTTTCAAACCCCCCTGTGGATAAAGCATTAATGCCTCATATCTTTACTGATCATTTCCTGTGCATGTTTAAGTGGTGATTCTGAATATAAAACTTTATCCTGCTTTCTTTAACAGTCAATAAATCACGGACTGTGAGCCTTTACCGAGGAGAATGTGTTCAAAGACTGTTTCAGCAGGGTCCTGTCCCATGTGCAATGTTCCTGCTCAGAGAGAGGACTAACACTCTTTCAGTCATGAATCACAAGAGATCCATATTTTCCATTTGAACTGGGTTGCAGCTGTGATATTTTGTTTTTCGGCTGCCGTGATACCTCCATAATCGAAAGTCTAAAAAGCACCACATGTCTGACTGATGAAAATGAATCTCAACTGTTTAGACTTGACTAATCCTTGCTTTCTGATTACATACCGATGGTTAGTGCCTGAGGTGCCCTTACGGATCCCCTTGATCATCTCCTGGTGTGTTATCCTGAACTCTTTGCCAGGATACAGCAGTGTTGCCATGACAGCAGCCTTGGAGTGGGTGTGTATGACTGCCTGTGCGCCTGTATTTTAGCAAAAGAGAAAGATGTTTTTTGTTTTTAGAGTGGTCCGCTGGTCTTTCTGAGCTGAGCATTTTGAACATGAAAAGACAAATGATCAGACATTGAGGTGCAAAATATTTTGAGTGATTTATTCAATTTGTTCTAATTTGTGTAGATATAAATGTGTCATAATCTAAAATGATTCATTATCAGCGTGGCAAAATGTGCAAACTCTAGCGGGGAGAAGAAGAGGGTAGGGCTGCACGACAAATCACAAATATTGCAAAGTGAACAGGTGCAATCAAAACCTCACAGCAATTTAAATGTGCTGAAATAAATGAAGTTTTCTAATTCATACAAGCTATGTTTGATCACACCGCATGTAAATTCTACCTGCTAAATCAAGGTTTGGGTATCATGGACATACTTTAACACTACTTGATGCAGCTGAGTTGGCTGTTTGCTAACCTCAGATTAATCGGTGATCGTTTAGTCATGATAAAAAGCTTTTTGTATTGGTCTTAAATCAGTTATTTAATCTAATACACAGTCTTTTGTATTTGTTTATGTACCACATCTCTTATTGATATCACATTGTTTATCTATGCCTTTTGTTTTTCTTAACATATGCAGGGCTGGGCAACTAATTGAACAAAATAAATCAGAATATTGTTTTGTCCCCATTTTTTCTCTCTACTTTCATAGCAGAACATATTCTCTGACACTGCCCTTAAGCAACTCTCACTTTAACTTCTTTATTATTTCAGATCGATGTGCAACAGAGTTAAGGAGCACCAGGAAGTTGTGGATCGTACTTTGCGTTGTATCTTCCACATGATGCACAGCAGTGGTATAAACTATTAAACAGCCACAGACTGAGAGAGGAAAGCAGGGAGAGGAGCTGAGGGAGGCTGGTTTCTGTGTGTATCTGTGTATGAAAAGCCAAGGGACAGGATGAACACGACAACAGAGAGGCTGCAGTGATCGCGAGGGTGTAACATGCAAGCTCAAGTCTTGACATTATAGAGGGTGTTAACAGAATAGTTTGTCAGACCTGCAGCCTGTGATAAAATAGCTGGAATGTGATAGAAGAGCTTCAATCCTTCAGTTTTAAAAAAAGTGTGAAAATACTCGACTAAAAGTGGATCTGACACTTCATTTAGTGAGCCGTCAAATCATCAAAATTAGGTCAAAGCTCTTTGGTGAAGTGAAAAATTCATGCATGGTCTGGGCTCAGTGCTATAATGTAATGTACAGATTTTTTTATAAGATGTATATCATTCAGTTAGACAGAGAGGCAAACTTTAGGGAAGAACGAGGAAAAACAGATTTATTTTTTTCTTCCATGATTTTTTTGAAGATGAAGGAGTTTGAAAGTTTTAAAGAAGTTGCACAAACCACAAGTAATGCTGTTTAATTATAATTCTGTCCATACCAACAAAAACTATCTTGATTATGGTTTTTGCTGCATTAAAGCAGGTCTATCATGCAGGACTTCTGTCAGATTTGCTAGCAGAGTGATACATTTTGAGTAGTGACAGGAAAGAATACCTTTTGTTATTTTTAAATTGTATATACTTTCAGAGAAAAAACACCTGATTTATGGTAAAGCATGTATGTTTTGTCACATCTTGCTTTAATTTGATGGCACAACGCAGCCTTTGACCTCACCTAACAAAGCATTACTTTCATAATCATAACATAAACCACGTCAATTCAATTAAAAGGTGTGCAAATTAGCATTTGGAGAACGATGAGCTATTTGGAGTGCATCAGTTCACATTTCTGTCACTGTGTGGTTGTACAACACAGGTTGAAATGACAGGATACAAACATGCATTTACTCAGTTAAAGATAATTGGTGGTTTGTGTAAGAATGACTCACCTCTCATAGTATAAGCATTCATAAAAAGAGGTGTACACTGGCTCTTCTTTAACTTCTTCCAGGCAGGAGGGCAGCTGATGTCTTTCTCCTCCACATCACACACAAACATGTCTTCTGGCTGTGAAGCACATACATAAACTCACTGTAATACACTTCTTTTATTTTCTCAGGTGCTGCTCAATCAGGACTGATTTTAACAACCGACTCACCTGAATTCTCTCCTTCTGGACGCCTGATGGTGCGATGAAGATTTGCTCTCTGTGAGTTACACAAAATGTTATTAATATGAAGGACAGGTTGGGGTCTTGCACTGCACATAAGGCTAAAAACTCTTTTCTGTCTTTGCCTCACAGAGCATATTTCTGCATATTTTAATGACTTGAATCTCTATTCCTCCAACAGAAACTTTAAAAACTCTCAGTATAGCTTCTCCAGCCATCCACGCATGATTAAATCCCCAAGGGCAGCTTTTTAGCATGGACTTTTTGCAGGTATTGCATGAGTCATATTTTTTCTTTTTTCAGCTCAAAATCCTTTTTTAAGGTTGTTTTCTCATTTTGAAATGCACTGTTGTATTTCAAAAACTACCAGATGAGTCAAGATGTCCCACACATGCGACCAAAAAAAAAAAAGTGCAAAATTGTATTTCCTGCAGCCCCTAATGAACAGAAAGCCTGATGGACTGCTCTTTAGTTTTAATAAGATAGCCCCGAACCCCTTGAAACCTCCACAATGATCATACTGTTACACAAATGTTGAAAGCCTTAACGTTCCCCAATAGAAAGTAGAGAATAAAGCCATTGTATTCTTCTTTATCTTGCAGGAAAAAAAGCATATCAAGGAGTTTAAAGGAGTAGCTTATTGATTTTTTTTTTTGTGTCAGGTTTGGCGAGGCTGCCTCAGGCTCTGAGTCATTCCTGAGTCGAACTAGAGCTAAAGAAAAAAAAAGGCCTTCAGAAGTAAAAATTCAAACCTGCACTCACTGAAAATAAATATACACTTGTTGGAATTTTGTGTGAAAAGTATCCAAAGCTGCTGTCTTTTTGGACCACCTCATGATTTAAATATCTCCATCTTTTGTTAATGCCCAATTTTAAGAGGGTTCAGCAGCTGTGAGGCACCTGAGCAGGAGAACTTTTTATAAATAATGCACCAGTAGCCACAATTCAGCCAGGACCCCTCTCATTACAGAGAGTTTGTCATTTGCATGCAGTTGGTAATTTGACACTTAGACTCTGCTCTGAGAGCTCCCTGCCCCTCCCCTCTCTGTCATGTGCATAGTACATTAAAAGCCAAGGCAGGGAGAGCATCAGCAAAGACAGACGGGGTACAAAACAGAGCAGTGACACTGATATGAGCAGGCATGTCATTAAAGGAGGAGCTGGGGTGCAGCAGGAGAGAACAGACTAAAACTGTGTATTATGGGATTTAAGGGAATAAGCACTGTGGGCTGAGCTTGCCTGAACTAAAATTCTGCTCCATTTCTGGTACATTTACATTATATTGGGACCATCAATGTGACTTAAGACTACCGTAAAACCTGGAATATGAATTGTACCAGTGTATTGATGGAAAACTGTTTAAACTGTGTTCCTTTGGGAAGACTTCCGATTGGGTTCAGCAATGTGCAGTTCATATGCAGAAGTGTACCCCACCCTGCCAGCTATCTGAACAGCAGTTGAGGACAGTCTGTGGTAGCACTGATAACTTTGAGGTACTAACAGACCTATTACTTACAGCCAGTTTGACACTTGCTCCACCCCCTCTATTGATGACTTATTCTCTCGAATTGTGGAGTGTTAAGAATCGAACTGGAACTCCACAAAGCTTATTAAGTTATAAGAAGTATAGTACAAGTTCCTTAAACTTGATGATTCTAACTAAACAAAGGGAAATAGCTTTAGGTTCAGAATTTAAAAGGTACATAAAGCCTTCACATTTGGCCTTAAAAATTGTAAAATAGTTACTAAAATACTGTTATGAGAACTCCCACTCTGCCTGCCTCGACTATAACAGCTGAGCACTAAACTGTGTGTTTTCAGAATTTAGAAGTGAAGTATCTGAACAAGACAACAGAAAATTCTCCCCTCAATTGAAAGTAAGAGTTTATTTGGTGAATAAAGCTAACACAGAGTGGAGAGCAGTACATTTTATTTTGTTTTATTTTCGTTTTCTTCAACCCCCTAATGCTTACTTAAATAAGCATCTGCCATTCAAACAAGGATTTGCTAATGGGTGATGTTTTCTCTGAGGCTGCCATCCACAACAACAAAGTTCAAAGATGTTTGTAATAACCTGTCAAAGCCTTCGCTTTGAATTCTGTTTCATTACTGACAAACTGTGGCCTTTGTCATAACCCTCTTTTGCACACATTGTCAAAACTGATAAAAGTGACCTCACATCAGCCTTGCTGCACATTTTTAGCTACAGTCTCCACAACGTTTAGTGTGTAGTAGGGTTTTCGAATATTATGTATACTTCAGGAAAACTATATGAAAACGTTTCAATCATATTTTTCAGTCAGGGACAGGTATCCAAAGGTAAGGAACTGAGCGTTTTTGGTCTGATATAAATCCATCAGCATACAAACCCTCGTCTGAGGCTGATCCCTCCGCCTGTCCCCGTCACCCAGCCTAGGCGGTAGAAGAGTCGACATAACTCTGGGATAAGCACGCGAGGATGCTCCTTCTCCTGTGACAAACAGAAAACGGTTACAAAATTCAGGTCATGAAAAGGTCGTGCCTCTTCATGACCTGCAAAAGCAAACAAGTCTTTTGTGTTTCCTGCAGTAAAGCTTTCAGTGAGGCAGGGCTGCACCGATATATAAGTCGCACATCCACACAGGCCAATCGCTTCACTTTAGACCAACATCAGCACACCAAGAAATGATGGGCCGTGGAGCCATGTTAGCAGCCTGTGTTTATCTGTATGCTACAGCAGGTTTATTACATCAATTTAAAGCAAGAAACTATCAGAAGAGTTGGAGTTAGACATTGTCTCTATGGTATCAGATCAGAGACACGCAGTACCAGTGAAATTTGTGCTGTGTGAACAGTCTCAAGATAACTGTCAACAAACCCCACAAATAAAGAAAATTCATAAACAGTACAACATGTACAGACAAAGCCTGATCTATGCAAATCCGCTCCTCAAGCTCTCACACATCTGCGTAAGTGACATCTCCTCCTATTTACCACATGCATACACCACTATTTGTTATGACTCATCCGGTAGTCACAAGAGCCGGGGGCATGTCCAGAGATGGTCGAGTAAGGCCGCTGACTTATTTAGGGTTGGCATGAAGTGTGTGTGCACACATGAATGAAGATAATTTTTTTACCCTTTCTGTCAGCACTAATCTTGTCCACTCCAACCACCAAAATCTGAGTACCACACAGATGCTTGAATCCAGCATGGCGACATTTAAATGATCAAAGCTTTCCTCTTAAAGGACTCAAGAGGAGGCTTGTCTGAAGACAAATTGCAACAAAACTCCAGAACATGGTCTGTTAAAATAATACTTTCGTTCATGTTAGCCTCGTTGGCAGATGCATCTTTTACAATTAAGCTGTGGGCAGGAAAGTGAGTGCGATTTTTGAAGACTGATTCCTTTTCTGAGCATTTGGTCCCGAAAATAAATGTGCAAAGATTATTTTGCAGTTCAGGAAACTAAAAAAAAGAAGATGAACAACATTGAAACTCAAATAAAACTACTACCATCCAATCACATCACAGTTTAAATAGTTGATTTAAGCTGAAGTCCCACTTCTCTAAATCACAGTTTGAGAATTTGCACCTAGATTAGCAGGTCAGATTTCAATCTGGGCCCATGCCACCTGTTCATAAAGGTTTATGTGTAAGAGCTCTTGAGGCTTTCAGTGAAATGAAAAGGCATGGATAAACAGACTAATGCAGTTTTGGTTTGCGACTTGAAAAAAATATAGAAAAGACTCATCTGATATTATGTCCTTGTAATTTTATCTGGTCGATGATAGGAACTGTTCATTTTATACACTGTTAATGCAAACCTAATAGCAGCTTCTGATAAATCAGTATAAAGAAATGGGTATAAAGTGTGTTGTGTGTTTAAAGCATCCTTTCATATATATTCAGCTCTGGTAATACTCTGTCATGTTCAGCTTGCCTGTTTCTCTGCGACCTCTTGACCTGCGTCCTGGCAGCCGTTGCTGGTGCCACACAAAGATGACATCTCCTGTGAGGAAAACATTGACCAAATTTAGAGACAAATCACATCGCAAAAAAAGAGGATGTCTGGCATGTGGTTGCGGTTACATTGATTTTAGTGTCATTTGAGACAGGCTTAGTGCTCTTTAGTCACAATGAAAGAGCACTTTGACAGCGTCTTACTTCCTTATTTTGATTTATTCCCCGCTGAAATCAAATACTGTTGAGATGACATGAGGAAGAATAAAAGAGAAGTGATTTACAGTTCGCACTAATTCCTCTCCTCCCACGCATCAGTTAGGGAAGAGCCACGGTTTCCTCAGATTGAAGAGCAGATAGGCAGCGCAGCTCAAAACTCTCAGATGCTGCTATTGATTCAAATTTCTATTTATACCAACAGTTACACAACGGCAAACACTTGTAGATTCGGCATGTACAAGGAGCCGAGAGCTCCTCATTTTTACCACTGTGTCGAGACAATGAAAAGTTTACTCACGTGGAACAGATAGCAACAATTGGAGAAAAGATAACTTATTTTACTTTCATTTGAGCTGCTCTGCTGCAGCTGTAGTTAAAAAAGCATTTTACAAAAGCATTAATAAGATTCCCGACGTTTAAGCCTGGAGGCTGTCGAGGTTTAAAGACAGTAAGAACACCTGACAGAGCAGAGAGACCTCACGTTTGCACCCGAGGCCAATTTAGAGACACCAATTACCTGCCGCACCTGCATGAGAGAATCACCAAAAAAGTGTGAAAAGACATTTATTTTACTTCTAGTCTTTGGCCTCATAACTAAATGAGCTGCTTTCTATGATGGCTTCAATTTTGCATACACAATAGGATGAAAAATATCGAATGTGAAGAGTCACCAGCTTAGGACATTAATTGGAGCTTTTTATTGTTAAGAAAAAAAGACACATATTGTCCGCACTGGCACATCTCCAACCACTGCTTTTCATCCGACACAGGCGCAGTTTGTAATCAGCGACATAAGCCAACAAAGGCACAGTTCATTCATTGGTGAAACCCTGTCAGTACTTTGAAGGGAAGAACTGTGCTGCAGGACACAAAACTGAACTAAAGAGACACTCAAAGGCATCCTCTTGGCAGAAAAGACGGTAAATGTTGACACGAAACAAATTTGTGCTAGCTTATGTTAGCTTACAGTAAACACTGACTGCTTTAATGAAGAGGGAAGAGCTTGTTTTAATATAAGACTAGCTTGAGTTGCTGGAGGGGCTGATATTACAGGTTTTTGAATTTTGCAAACAGTGTCGGTAAGGTTAATCATCACTTTTCTTCAGTGTGTGTAAATACTGAAATATCAGCGAGTAACTAAAATTTAGACCCCACTGTTCTCTCTTTGTAACTCTTTTTTGTCATTTTAGCTCATTGAATAAGAAAAAAAGTTTAAGATAAAGACTTAAAGATCTCACACTCTGTTAGAAGCTTTAAAGGTCGATCAAGATGAAAATTAGCTGTTAGAAACACATGCGCATAAGAACTGTTTATCTTAATTTATCTTATTGTAAAACCATATCAAGCATTACCAATCAAAATACTGCATCTGCTTCTGTTGCTTATTGTATGATAGAGGTTATAAAAGATAAAGGGCAACCAAGACACCACCTTTACTTTAAATTAATGATTTACTGAGGAAACCATGCCTCATCCACACACCTGAAACTCGTTTCTGCAACAACTTGATGCTCTGGAAATACTGAACATGTCAGCACACAAACCTATTTGGGCGATTGTGTGTCATCAAAGGAAGAGTATGCAAATTTTAACTGAAACTAAAGATTACATTTGGTCATTTCACTTTCTTGAGAAGCTCGCTGTTCGAGAAAATCCCCAGCTGGACTCCTTACTCTGGATGAAAAGTTGGTTAGATTTCAAATATTGCAGTATATTCTGGGGATGAATTGGTCCTTTGACGTTATCAGCATTGACCCTCTCAAGGTCGATATCGCCATCATAATTTTCTGAGTTTTTCCATCCCCAATAAAGCCATGTTGAATCTAAAAGTTAATGGTTTCATATGATTTCCGTCATGTTGTATAGAGTAATGCAGTTACGTAGTGCACCTGAAATTGAAGGGACATGTCGTGAAATATGTAGCATAACCAAATGCACTTTTTTTTTTAATCAATTCATTAACAATTCACCTAAAACATGTAGCTAGCTGAGATAACCCTGTTTAGATTAGACTGTAATTTGCACGAAATAATGAATTTACACATTTTCATTTCTGATCCCCAATATCTACTTTATATGTTCTGTCTTTTATACTAATTTCAAACAGACGGGAAGTTAATGCTGATAATGTAATTTATTGTTTGGCTTCACAGCAGTTCTCACATCACCTTATGGCCCCAGTATCTGCCTGCAGGAGCATCCGACTATATTGAAAAATAAAGCTCAACCTTTTCAGTATTCACTTTGAGCTAAAAGAATTAAAAATCACCTGAAAAAACTAGAATAAATAATATATCATACATGATTCATTTAAACTAGATTGTACTTACCAAAGTCACTTTTAACGCACTTCTGATAGAGTTTAGATGACATGCAAAAAGCAAAGATTTACTCTGCAACTGTAAAGTATGACGCACTTGTACTGCATCGATAATATAAATATCCAAATAAGTTTGTGAAATGCTGCTTTCATTAGCTTCTTATTCCTCTGTTGTGTGTTTAAGCAGCTTTGAAAAATACTCCACATGCCAGCCGGCTTAATACTTGGATAAGAAATCCTCAGTGACTGGAGACTGATGCTATTTTTGATCATAACAAAAGACTACACAGGGTCATTTTGATTCATGCAGCTGGCCTGTGTTTCAAGTCGTGTGCCTGTCATGTTTGCTGATCTTGAAAAAGGCCTGAGGGCTGAAATGTCATCTAATAGGAGAGAAATGCATATGCAGTCAGGATGAGCAGGAGTTTTTCACCCCCCCTTTACACCTCCAAGTTGGATGCCTGTCAATCAAATCAGCTGCTGTAAGAATGATGAAATAAAAACCTTCTGTAACATTATTAAAACTGGCATCTGCAGTTAGTCACAAACACCTACATTCAGTTAGAAAAACAGGCAACTTACTGCCGATTTATGTTTTTATATTTAATACTTATACCTTGTTTTTGTAGATAGATACCATATGGTGTATAATCAGTCTGGCTTGTTTTGTTTTACGATGACCATAAAAGTTCAAATAAATGGGCATGTATATAAAGATTATATACTGATAGATGGTCCTGAACAGATTATGTCTGTAGCTTTTATCTTCCTGTCATCCTCAAGACATTTTTATTCTGTTTGACCTCAGAGGAATGTCATATCGAGTTATCACAGCTGTCACCTCATGTTTTAGGTAAATATCTGGTGTAGTCAAGTTTATAGTTTTCTAAACTTTTTAGACCAAAAAAATGGGTTTAGTTTGACGTTTGTAGAATATCTGCTGGTTCAGGTTTCTTGAACTGAGTATTTTGCTGCTTTTTGTCAGTGTAGGGAATACAAAATTTTTAGTTTTGAACTGTCAGTTTGGCAAAAGCAACTTTAGGATGTCACTTTATGAGCATTAATCACAACTTCAAAACATATTGTAGACTAAATCACTACAAGAATAACCGTGAAAAATAGCAAGTTAACTTTCTTGCCAATTAATATGAACTCACCCGATTCAGTTTTTGTGCATTAAGTTTGCTTTAAACGTCAATAATAGAAATATGTATAAGCAACAGATCCAAAAAACAGGTTTGAGCAACACTGCACTTATAAAAGTTTGCTGCTGACACATTGATGGCATCACAGGATAAAATCTTGTTGTTTTATAGGACTAAAAACATATCAAACTGTCATCGCTGTTTCTAAAATATGCTATGACATGCTTGTCACTTTAAACTTGAATAACAGATCTTGTGTAACAGACCTGGGACATAATTTAGTAACAAAGACTATACTGACGTGTTTAACTTTATAAAGATACTGTTTCATATTGTGTCCATATGAAATCTTCTGTGCACTCAGTAAAGTGTAACTTCAAAACAATAATACAGAAAGTTGTGCAGCAAACCTGGTAACCATGGTTACATCATTATACTTTATCCGTATGATAAATATGCACTGAAAGCCATATTGTTTTGGTTTGGTCGTTTTCCTTTGGACACTTGGCATATGGCTCAAGTAAATTAGGAATGAACAGAAATTACAGATTAAACTATGAACCGACGCATTTAAAACTGAGCTAAATAAAAATGCATCACCGTGATCGTCATGTTATTGAAGTGTGTTATTTCTAGACATATTAAACGACTCTTTACGCTCATAAATGCAGCAGCTGTCGCCGTTTCTTTGCATTGAAATGGTTGATTAATTCTACTGTAACGTGCAGTTTATGTTTGGGTTTTCACTTTCTGAATCCGTTTTGTGATACAGAGAACTTATAAAGCCATTAATTTACAGTTAAGAGGAGAAATATTCACACAGACAGTTAAACGAATATTAAAAGTGCGGGTATACTCACCTTCTGTGTGCAGTTAAAGCTGTCTTTAGTCAGAAATAAACTGTTCCGATGCTCAAACTGCAGCCTTTACTAATGCTGCTGCAGCGACGTCATCAACGCGCGACGAGCAAACAGGATACACTGACGGATGTTCTGTCACCAAACTCGTCCTTTTCCAAACTTTTAGGCCAAATTGTGCTTTAATTGTTTCGAAGTTTGTTGCTGTAATATTTACTTTACCTAAATGAATTCTGATCCTTGCTGTTATTAGCAGCCGGACGGTGTAAATGTACACATAAAGAAGCATATTAGGGGGTGAAGAGAGAATATGGCACAATGTAAAACAGGTGGATGGACCTCCTAAAGGATCAACTTTTTAACATTTTATAGTCTTTACAAGTGAGGTTTTCAGGCACTGGAGCTGAATGAGTACCAAACATCTTTTATATTATTATATCTAATTTAACAAAAACAGAAAAGTTTACTGTTGCACCAAAGTGAATGTAACATTTTGCAGATAGAAAAGATTGTTGTTGTTTTTTTTTATTAATTATTGTAGATGTTAATCAAAACAACAAGCAATCTTTGTATAAAACTGTAAAATCTGACATACACACATATGTTTTGGCCACTTGATTCCAAAAATAGTAGAACAACTAAAACAGGTAGGCCAGTATCAAGTCCACAAATAGAGCAATTAATATTTATGTCCTTTTCTATCTTTTGTAAGTCATGTTAATAATGACATAGAGGTTTTGTTAGGGGTTTTTAAAAGACAACTTCAGTTTGCCCATGACTAAGTAAACTTTAGCTCAGGGGTATTGACAATAAATGTAGCCTGGCCTGTTTTTTTAACCAGTTTGATTAGTCCTCACATGTGAAGAGGTACTGAAGTTATCTGAGAGAGGTCTTATTGAAATACAACACTTCATTTTATTTTTCCAGTCTTTTTTTAAGGGTATTTCAATTTCTCTCCTGAACAGTTGCAAATGTCTGTCCTTTTGCTGCTCACTGCTCAATTTGGGAGATTATCCAATCATATTGTTTTTTGTTTAAAAGTTTATATGATTATCATTCAAATCTTTTCTGAGCCTACATGAAACTGTACTTGGATATTATCTCCACTCTTTCAATTTAGTGTTTTTAAAGACTCTGCATATGTTTTGAGAAGATATCAGCTGGGTTGAAACAGTTGTTTTATGCAAGATTAAAAAAGTGATTAAACTTTAGACTCTTAGCAAACCCTCTGTGAACTTCTAACAGTTTCTCAAAGACTGTTTCCCTCTTTAACTTTCAGATAAGCTTCCTGGTTAGCGTATTTTATCTTATCCGACAATATCTTATCTTATCTGTTGGGGCTTGTCACGCCACCATTTACTCGTTGTTTGTATAAAAGGCCTTCGTTTTTTGTTATGTAAGTGCTATCTCTTAAAAAGAATTCCAAATGATCATTTTCATGAGAACTGATGTTGCCTATCTAGTCTGAACTCGCCGAACATTGGGTAATACAATCTCTATCTCGGCCTGATCAGCAGTTGCGTCACGAAGCTACTCCCCCTCACGATTCACTTTTATTTCCTTCTAAAGAGACTCCCAAGTCCGATTGTGAAAGAATGAATCATCAGTGTGTTCACTGGAAGTCCCCATTCTGGCCAATCATTATAGGTATCAGTGACAGTCTGCTTGTGTCAAAATGTTTACATAGTTAGAGTTAAGTGATGCCAAATTCTTCAAAAGCCGAATTGGTTCAGATACGGACATTACACCAGACAGTTTTTAAGATTTAACAGCATGGATGTTTTGGTATCAGTTTGTTGGTACATGAAAATTAAAGACTCAGGGCACTGTTGGTATAGGGGCTTAAAGATGGGGTAGGCAGGATTCCGTTAAAGAAACATCTTTTTTTGTGGTGTATATACAAAAAGCTTTTACTATCAGTCAATAGCTATTAGTTATTGATGACATTTGGGAATATCAGGATATTGCTGTGTTTTGTTATGTCTGTGTTGTCAACATTTTAAAATTTTTAAGGGGCCCAATTTTTCTGACTGTAAACAAAGCCAGTCCTCACTCAACCTGATTGGTTGTGAGGCAGACGCTGCTCCCTTGTGTTGTGAGGCACGCTCCTAGAATAACGTTCACACTAACAAAGTTAGCATGCTAAAATATCAAACAGTAGAAACAAATCCCAGAAAGTACAGAAAATTGTCTGAATCCTCCTTTGGCCATGACTGCCAACACAAGCAAGAAAATGAAGTAAATACCGGAGACCCTGGTGGAATAACGGGCGCTTAAAACAGAGGTAGAATAGACAAGAGCTAAGAAGCCGGGTCAACGTCAATGAAGCATAAACTATGGGGGACACTTCGGGATCTTACAGACCCTGTAACCTTTCTGCTGGACAGGTAAACCGCTTTAACAAAGTAAGCCAAATGTCTGTAACAGAAGTGTTTCTTCTCAATCGGGACCTGCTGCGTGTTGTAGCGCCGCTAAACTGTTTACCCCGGGTCCTGGAGTATGTCACTTTATCCTACTTGTAGAAGTCCTGCAAACATTGTGTTTGCTGGTAGTCTGTTGGCATCTACAGTAGCACCAATGCTGTTTACTTTCATGTTGACTGGGCCCCATCTGTAATTATCTGAAGTATTTATCTGCATTATATCTGAATTTGATTGGAATGATACGAGTGAGCGCAAGCTTGTTTAAAAATGTAAAGGAGACCATATGAGCCTGTTAAACTCAATCTAATTATGTAGGTGTCACCTGGCAAGGCAAACAGCCAATCAGGGTTTCAGGGTGTCCTTTGGGGTGGCCAAATTAAAACGTTACCTTACAGGCTCAAAAACATTACAAAGTTAAAATTCTGTTAAGAAATTCCAGATATACTTCATGCAAAGTGCATTATTTTCATTGCATTCATATCAAGAAGTCATATGTGTTTTGCGTTGAGCACAGACCACCTGGAGAGTTTATGAGTCATTTGCCGCCTATAACAGTGGGTCTATTTGCAACAATTTGACATGTTACAGCACTTTAAGAAGGCCTATCCCACTCATCATGCTGCCTTTAACCTGTGGGGCATAACAATCTTTGAGCTTTAAAGGAGTGGCACCTTTTGAAGCCCTTGTTGCCTGTCACGTTGTGTTTTTACCCTGTCAAGTTTTGTCAGCATGTCATGAGCTGGTGGATATGAATCCAGCCCAGTCAGATTCAGGGAGGAGCCACCTTTTCCTTTTCATCTCCTTTTCTTCACAGGAACTAGTAGAACCATGGAAACACAAACATCAGGTGTGTCATAAACATTTTTATAGGTGATAGGTGATAAACTGCTCAGGAAATCATCCGTTGTATTTCCTTGGCAGTGACGAATGTTGGTGAACTTGGTTTTCTGTGAAAATACAGAACATGCAGTACCGAACGTGTCCGTCCTTTTCTGTCAAACTGAACTTTTGGTGAAAACTGAAAACTGTGAAATGAAATGATCATACAGAATTTTAAAAAGATACCGTAATAATCTCAATACTTGGTCCTGCTTTTGCTGCACTCTATAATTAAGTACTTTCATCATGTCACATGCACGTTCCCTTATCTGGAACACCTTGTTACAGCAAAGCTCGAGCCACACTTCATACTGCTGTGTTATTACCAACAAAATAATTTAACAATACCTGCTGGCTGCACACCCCTGGGAGAGACAGACAGGCACAGACACAGCCTACTTCATTAATAAATGACTCTGTAATTGAAGCACTCAATAATGGCACAACATAAGACAAACACAAATCGGGAACTGAGAAGATGGTAGATGAATCTTTCATTTTGTCTGGAAATTACTGACAGTTTAACTTCAAAAGCACATGATTACTTACCAAAAAAATGACAACAGATAACACAATATGAAGATATAAATTGAAACATCTTTTTCAAAAGCTGGAGAGTGAAATGGTGATCCATTAACTTAGTAACTAAAACTCTATTACAGCCAGAAGAAAAATGGTGAAAGGCAATAAAATTTGAACATTTTATGAAAACTGAAGCTTAAATTTAGGTTGGACTGAAATACAGTAAATAATGATACTGTTTTTAAAAGAAGTCCAATAAATGAACACTATATAAAAAGTGCATCAAGTTTGACAATGATAAAAAGACTGACATGAAAAGGCCAGACAACAAAAGGGAAAGGATGTTTGATACTACAGAAAGATTACAATTTTCTACCACAAAATATTCTAGGTTTTAGGCCATAAATCAAGTTGATAGTTTAACAGGACCAGTACCATTAAGAGCTCTTAAAATCTAAAAAGAAATTAAAGCTCCTGTAAGAAGTTTTTGGCTGGCAATTAAAAAAAAAAGACTGGCATTTCTGTAGCCGCCTTTTATGGGCTACAAAAGAAATCTAGTCCATCTCCATAAAGACTGATCTTCCCTCACAGAGAATTTTAATGTTTGAAACCACTGCAGGGGGTAGGTGTTAGACAAGTGAGTCACAGCGTGCTGAAAAAACTGACTTTTCTTGTATTTTCTGCTACAGAGGATCTCAGTGAGTGATAAATTTGACTGCAACAAAAAACAGGAATGCACTTTACAGGACAAAATCTACAAAAAAAGAGAGAGAGAGAAAGTTCCTCACAGAAGCTTTAATATAGTGGTCCTTGTCAACACATGTGCATCTTCTGCAGATGTTGTCATTGAGCTTTATTCTTACACAGGAGAGCAGTAGGAAAGGCAAGATACATATAACTGAGACATTAATTAAGGGCCTGTGTCCATTAGCACAGAGTCCATGACCTCAATTTCAAAGCATTTCTCACCGGCACTAACTGTTGCTAGGTAATGAAAGTTGTATCCTTTTCCCTTTGTCAGTGACAGTTTAAACTGCTGTATGTTGACATTTTAAAGTTAGAAACAGATTTGTGTCCTGGCATTAGCAGCAGCAGCTCTTCACCTGAAAATTTGAAACCAGCCAAGGTTAGCTTCTCCTCTGACATTGTTGGAGACATAATGATATCCAGAGTCCTGCCTCTTCTTCATTTTGATCGGTGGGTTTAGGTGAATCTGACACTATTCTTAACTGAGAGTGTCAAAACAGCTGGTGATAAAGCTGTGTTATTATGCACAGGCTGAGCAATGTTG